CCTGCATAAACAACTAAAACTCTTACCTCCTGGGAAATAGAAATAGAAATTCCTTGTGGGCTACTTTGATTTTTTTTTCTTTTTTTCCTTTCTGTCTGTAAAATGAGGATATTGGTCTAGATAGTTTTCAAACCTTTTGAATTTAGTAATTTGACCAGCATTTGTTAATCACTTGCCATGAGCAAGCATTGCCATGGTGCCAGCCCTAGTAGTACATATGGTGGGCGGATGAGACAGGACCACATGCCATCTTCATGCATCTGCTAGTGGACAGATGTTTAATATATCATGACAGATGTGATATGGCATCAAGAAGAGCAGGTGCTGTACTCTAATCTAAGATAGCAAGATAGCAAGCAAGGAGTTCAAGCCAATATTTGAAGGAAGAGCAGGAATTAGCTGGAGAAAGAGGTCAAGAAGATCATTCCAGGCAGAGGATGCAAAAGCCAGAAGGTGGAGAAATGCTTTCATTCCAGGAATGCTGTGGAGTGCCTGCAGATTGGACAAGGAAGAGATAGAGGGCTTAGAAGAGTAGGGCTGAGGAGACAGAGCAGATGTGCAAGGTCCTGAGAGTGTTATATTTTATCCTAAGGACAATGGATAACCTTCAAAGGGTTGGAGGCAGTGAAGTATCATGATTGCACCTGCACTTTATAAAGATCCTTCTGGTATACTGTTGTAATCCCAAAAGTTATTTAAATGAGGCAGCAGGACAGGTGAAAGGGAGGCCTCGTTGTGAAGAATGAGATGATGGGGACAGGGGCAAGGCGTCAGGAGGATGAGTGTGGTGACCATAGGGATGGAGAGAAGTGAGTGGATGGGGACATTTAAGAGACCGAGTTGCCAGCACCTGGTCATTGGAGAGATGTGAGAAGACGCAGCCAAGGATTAATAGGATTCTGGCTTTGGCCACGACTGGAAGCATGATGGAGTCATCAGATTGCAGGGATGATCAGGGATGGATTTAGGACATGTTGAATCTGAGGTCACTGTGGACATAGCTAAGCAGATCTGGAGGCTGGAGAGATGGAAGTTATGTTGGCATCTGGGTGGTAATTGGAGGCATGGAGGTTGAGGAAACAATGAAGGAGAGTGCAGAAGGGCAAGGGGAGATGTCTTTCTGGAAGACCCCAACATTTAACACACAGGTGGAAAAGAAAGAAGCCAGCCAGGGAAAGGAAAATGAAGAATGGAGGGAAACCAGGAAAACTTGGTGCCACGGAGGCCAAAGGTGGAGCATTGCATGGAGTTCAAAGTGCCAAGCCACGGAAAACACAACTACAAAATACAAGCTTTCGTTAGGTGGGAACTGGAAAAAAAATGTGTTCTTTGGATTTTGCAAATGGAGCGTATTGTGGATCTAGCAAGAGCTAGAGGAATTCATAAATTGAAGACTGTCAGTGAAGGCTGGGCTTTCAAGAGTTTGACTTGGGAAGGGAAAAGTGGGCTATAGTTGAAGGAGTGTGTCAGGTTGACAAGAGTTTTTTTTTCTAAGTTGGGGAACTTTGTTTAAGAGCATATGGGGGTGCTTAGGTGGCTCAGTGAGTTAAGTGTCTGCCATCAGCTCAGATCATGATCTCCGTGGCCTGGGATTGAGCCCTGCATCAGGCTTCCTGCTCAGTGGGAAGTCTACTTCTCCCTCTCCCTCTGCCCCTCCCCCCTGCCCCTTGCCCCCTGCTTTTGCTCGCTCTCTCAAATAAACAAACAAACAAACAAATAAAATCTTTTTAAAAATAAAAAATAAAAGCAGTTGAAGATAAACAGATTAACAATTGACGTTACAGGACACCGGGGGCAGGAGTGTTTCAGCTGGGTTCAATCAGAGGAGCAGAACCACTTGGATTATAAGAGGTCTGTTATAAAAATTTGACTTTGCATAGTTGTGAGAATTCATTACCCTGTCTATGTGAAGCTGTTTTCTCTGTATCTGGTGCTAGATCTTGAAGTCCATAGGGAGGCAGTTGGGAAGGAAAGAGGCAGGTGATGTGGGGTTAGGGGAACAAGAAAAAGCTGGAACCATAGAGATTGAACTAGAACCCACAAGGATGGATTGGAACTGTGTTGGTTTCTCACTGACATTTCTTCCAACTTTGGTAATGAAACTCTGCGGAGTATGGATGTTCTTTGTATGCACCTGGCCCAGGAGTCGGTGAAGCTAGAGCTTGGGGAGCAGCAGGCCTGGCTGCTGCTCCATCTCAACCAGTTGATCCAGCAGACAAGTGACAGTGTATATCTCTACAACGGTGCCTGGTGCTTGCACGAACTTCCTGAGTATAGAGGAACATGGCTCCTCCTTCATGGTTGCCTTCCAAATCTTGGGCAAAGTACCCCATGATAATTTGGAACTACACAGGAAGGGAATTCTGGGAAGCAATAGTCCACCTTAGTTAAGGTGACAAATATGGATCCATCTTAGAAGACTGCTTCATTTTTAAGCATTTTTAGCAGATCCAGGCACTGTCTTAGGAGCTAGGGATACAATTTAGTTAGAGTTCATCTTCACAGAACTTAGGTTCCAACAGGGAAATCAGGCGATAGCAAGTATGTATATGATATCATGGCAGATTGTGATAAGTACTACCAGGAAAAAACAAAAAGAGAAATAGCTAGGAGTTGGGTGAGAAGGAGGTTTTATTAGAGAGGGTGGTCGGAAAACCTGTTTGATGAAGTACTGTTTAATCGCAGATTGTAATGAAGTGATGAAGCCAGCCAAGCAGAGATCATAGGAAAGAGCTTTTCAGGCAGAGGAAAACAGTATGTGCAAAGGCCCTGGGGCAAGAACAGTCTTGTTCAAGAAACGCCAAGAATGCCAGCTACCTTGGGGTGGGAGGTGAGGTTGGAGAGCTAGGTAGTAGCCAGATCACGTAGAATAGTCATCATCTAACTTACCTAGTGGTTCCCTTCAAGACCATACTGGGAAGGTTTGTCCTTTTTTGACCTTAATTAAATCATCCCCAGTGCTTAAAACCTCTCCCCAGTGATGTTTGTTGAATACTTTAACATCATAGTTGCATGAGGCAATGGATAACAGTTGGGGTGGACAATAGACTAAAACAGAGCTTAAAAGGAAAGGCTAAGGAGTAAGGTGTCCATTGAGGCACTTATTTATTTATTTATTTACTTGAGCTTTTTTTTAAAAGCTCTGATGTTTCTGTAATCCATGTACATTTGTTGACCAAACATCATGTGCATGTTCAGAAAAGACTCGAGAAGGCAATAATCTCTCACCTCTGACTGACATTGAAGTTATGCACAAGCAGGATGTGAAAGGTGGACCAAGGTATACACTGCCTGGCCCTGTGTTGAAGGCATGCCCCAACATGCAAACAGAACCCCTCAGTGAAAAGGGGAGATTTATTGGTTCTAGGAGTTTAAGGAAATCTCTGTCTAATCATTAGCTGACCGGTAAGTTAACTGAGCAAAGGCTTCAGTGATCACACATGACCTAGAATACAGACTTTGCAGAATTAGTTCAGGAAGGTCACCAAACAACCACCCACCACATTAAGCAGCAACAATGACAAACTCTATGAAGGGGTGAAAACTGGCTTCCAGAGTTGCTACATTATAGTATTTGAAATGTGCAGTGTTCAACAAAAATTACGAAACATGCAAAGAAACTGTAAGAAAATACAATCTGTATATGTGGTGGAGGGGAAAGCAATTGATAAAAACTGTTCCTGAGGAAGCCCAGACACTGGAATTGCTAAACAAATACTTTAGATTTGCTATTTTATTTTTTTAAATTTTATTTATTTATTTGAGAGAGAGCAAGAGCAAGCATGAGTGAGGGGAGGGACAGAGAGAGAGGGAGAAGTAGACTCCCTGCTGAGCACAGAGCCAATGGTAGGGGGAGGGGCTCCATGCCAGGACCTGAGATACAACCTGAGCAAAGGCAGATGCTTAGCTGACTGAACCACTTAGGCGCCCTTAGGTCTGCTGTTTTAAATATGTACAAAGAGCTAAAGGAAACCATATCTAAATGAAAGTATGATAATTTATCAGTTGTGTATAACACTCAGTGCTTATCACATCATGTGCCCTATTTAATGCAACTGATAAATTATTGAACACTACATCTGAAACTAATGATGTACTATATTTTGGCTAATTGAATTTAAACTGAAAAATTTTAAAAAATAAATGAAAATCGAGTCTCACATAGAGTCTCACATATCTCAGTTGAGATATTTGATGAAATAATGACTGAAAGCAGGCCAACTTAATGAAAAAAACCCATTCATTCCACATCCTAGAAACTCAGCAAACTCCAAGGAGGATAAATTCAAAGAGATCCACACCTGGACACATCATAACCACAAAAGTGACTCATCATGTACAGGGGATCTTCAATAAGATTAACAGCTGATTTCCCATTAAAAATAAAACAGAAGGCAGAGGGAGGACATATTCAGAGTGATGAAAGGAAGGAAAGAACCCTGCCCAACCAAGAATTTTATGTTTGGTAAATGTGTACTTCAAAAGTGAAAGAGAAATTAAGATACTCCTCAGCCTGATGAAGGGCATCTAAAAAAAAAAAAAAAAAAAAACAAAACCAAACTCACAGTTAACATTATATTTAATAGTGAAAAGATTGAAAGTTTTGTTCCCTAAGATCAGGAACAAAACAAGGATGTCTGTTCTTACTTCTCCATAGGATTTTACTGGATGGAAATTCTCATGAGAGCAGTTAGGCAAGAAAAAGAAATAAAAGGCATCCAGATTAGCAAAGAGGAAGTAAAACTCTATTGGTTGATGACATGATTATCTATCTATCTAATCTATATCTCTCTATATAGATAGATTTATATATATTTAAGTACAATATACTTATTTAAGTTATATATATATAACTGCCACCGGCTGCCACCTCTCAGAGGTTGATGAGAAAGAAATGACCTTCTTTTCTCCCCACCCAGCAGAATGTTTTTTTTTTCATTCATTCATTCATTCATTCAGCCCACAAACATTTATTAAGCATTAAGCACCAAAGCAGACATTCACCAGTTTAGGACGACTTTGTCATGGACTAGCTGGCCATGAGGCTCAGTAGCATCTGGAGGCAGGAGAGCCAAGTAGACAGGCGTCTTGGCTCCCTCCTCCACAGTCCTGGGGCCATAAGGCCCACCCATGTCCGTCTTCACCCACCCTGGGCAGCATGCATTCAGTAGAATCCTGTCAGCTTTCCTCTTCTCATCCAGACACTGGGCCAGGATTCTTGATAAGACCGTGACCCCCAGCTTAGACATCCCATAAGCTGAGTTGGGCCAGCCTTCCCTCTCATGCACTTCATTGCTTATATCCTCCACAAATTTCTTCATGAGGTCCACAAGGTCCTCCTCTGTGAGCGTCTTGCATTGGAACTTCTTCTGTAGATCTGTGCTGCAATTTTCAAGAGCCTTTGAACCCTCTAAACTGCTGATATTCACCACCCTGCCATGAAGTTTTATTATTGGCAGCAATTCATTGCAGACATTTCTTGTGGCAAAAAAGTTTGTCTTCAGCATTATCTCAGCTTGAATGTCAAAGGGTGTTGGATCATCAGCCATATATATATATCCAACAACAACTATTAAACTAATAAGTGAGCCAACCAGTGTTTCAGGGTACAATATCAATATTTTAAAAATCAGTTGTAGTTCTGTATGCTAGCTATGAAAAATCCAAGAATGAAATTAAGAATATAATTCCATTTATAATATAATCAAAAATAATAAAATACTTAGGAAAAGGTTTAACCAAAGATGAGCGAGATGTGTACACTGAAAATTATAAAACATTGTTGAAAGAAATTAAAGAACATCCAAATAAAGGAGAGACATCTTATGTTCATGAGTCAGAGATCTAATTTTGTTAACAAGGCAATACTCCCCTAATTGGTCTACAGATTCGGTGCAATCCCTATTAAAATTTCAACTGCCTTTTTACAGGAAGAGACAAGCTGATGAAATTTATATGGAAATCCAAACGACACCAAATGACCAAAACAATTTTGAAAAAGAAGATTAAAATGAATGGAGTCATTTTTCCCAATTTCAAAACTTTCTGCAAAGCTACAGTAATCAAGATAGTGTGGTCCTAGCATAAGGATAGACATATAGGTCAGTGGGATAGAATTGAGCTTCCAGAAAGAAATCCATATATCTGTGGTCAGTTTATTTTTGACTAGAGTGCCAAGACCATTCAATGGGGAAAGAAGAGTCTAGTCAACAAATGGTGCTGGACAACTGGATATCCATATGCAAAATATGAAGTTGAACCCCTACCTCACACCATTTTTAAAATTGAACTCCAAAAGGACCAATGACATAAATGTCAGAGCTAATCATATAAAACTCTTAGGAGGGAACAAAGGTGTTTTAAAGGGCCTGATGTTCTCCTCAAGTAAATTAGAACTCTCATACTTTGCTGATGGGTATGTAAAATGCTGAATGCTATGGTATTGAATTATATCTCTACTTAAAATTATCATTCTGAATGCATATAGGGAAAGAGGATGGTTGCCCAAGAGCAGGCCTGGGAAATTGCTGCAGTCTAGTCCAGTAATGAGTTGATGTTGCTCTAAGGCCCAAGGGGATTGATGTCTTTAAAACTGGGGAAGGCCCCGGGACAGGACTTTTTTGGAGAGGCTGGCCTCTGCAGTAAGAGGGACACTTCCCACCATTGAGAAGAGAGGGAAGAAGGGATATGGGCACAGGGTGGGCATTTTAGAAGATTGGATCTGCCTTTGGGTTTGGTCCAGAAAGGATTATGAGCAATTATGGGCAGAGGATGCCTGGAAGCCTCAAGTAGCTTTGGGCAAGCAGGGAGCACAGTGTTGGCTTCTCGGAAGCTCAGGGAGCCCTGTAACAGGGTATGCAGGGATGCTTACCTGGGAAGTGATCCTCTTAAATTGTCCCCAATACTGAGTTTCAAGTTGGAATATGGGGGAAATTTGAGATATGTATTCTGTTATTATGGCTAAATAATACCAGCTACTGACTGATTTTAATGGAATGCCTGTTTTATGAAATACAAGTGACTGATTAATCAAGAACTGGCATTATATTTTATAATCACAGTTTAATTCTGGTTTTTTTTTAATTTTTTTTATTGGAGTTCAATTTGCCAACATATAGCATAACACCCAGTGTTCATCTCGCCAAGTGCCCTCCTCAGTGCCCATCACCCGGTCACCCCAACCCCCCACCCTAATCATAGTTTAATTTTGAACAGGATGTGTGCGAATGCATTGATAAAAGGTAGAATCAATAATTCTATGAAAAGAACATGCTTTACTTGATTTTCAGAATTTTTTTCATCTCCAGGTCTTACTTGGTGTCTGCAGCAACCATGTGAAGCAGGTTTTATTATTTTCACATTCATTTTTATACAAAGTAGTGGAGGCTTAGGGAGTTACTTCTCCAAACAGCCTAAACCCAAGCCTTGGTAATCTCACGTTCTTTCCACTATTACTCCATGAATCAAGCAGGATACTTTTTTGTTTATTCAAGTGCTCAGGGTATGTTGCCAAGGTGTCTTTTTCCAGAAAGTCTATTTTTATAAAATGTCTTTGGTACTTGCCAGTTCCGTTATTTTGAATGACTTTTTTTTTTGTTAATAATACTAATGTTAATTATAGAAAATCTAGAAAGGTATTTTTTAACATCACCACTCAGATAATTCCTGTTAACATATTAATGTATTTCTTTCCAGTGTCTGCCTATTAAATATACTACCTACCTACACACACACACACACACACACACACACACACTCACACACACAGAGTTAACCCTTGAACAACATAGATTTCCAAGGAGCAGGTTTACTTATATGTGGCTTTTTTACAGTCCAGTGCTGTAAATGTATTTTCTCTTCCTTAGGAGTTTTTTTTTTTTTCCAAGACTTTATTTATTTGAGAGAGCGAGAGCTCACAAGCAGGGAGAAGGGCAGAGAGAGAGAAGGAGAGAGAATCCTGAGCAGACTCTGTGCTGAGTGAGGAGCCCAACGTGGGGCTTGATTCCAGAACCCTGAGATCATGACCTGAGCTGAAACCAAGAGTCCCACACTTAACCAACTGAGCCACCGAGGCACACCCCTTATGAGTTTCTTAATAACACTTGCTTTCCTCTTAGGTTACTCTGTTGGAAGAATACAGTATATAATACACATAACATACAAAATATGGAATAATTGACTGTTTTTATTATTGGGAAAGCTTCTGGTCAACAATAGGTCATCAACAGTTACGTTTTGGAGGAGTCAAAAGTTACATGTGGATTTTCAATTGTGCAGGGGGCTTGGTGCCCTTAAACCCCTCATTGTTTAAGGGTCAGTTTGTTTGATTTTTGTTTTACAGAATTGTGCTCATACTATAAATAGCTTTGTGCCTTGCTTTTTTCCACTTAGTATGATGTTGTGAAAAGTAGCAGAGATTGAGTGGTGAAGGTTAGTTAGGCCCTGGAGCCAGAACGCTATTTAGTAGTGAAGGTTAGTTAGGCCCTGGAGCCGTGTGAATGCTACTTAACATTTTTGTACCTTAGTACAAACCTAGTACAAAATATGGTCTATCTTGCGTACTTTCCTCTGATCACAGGTCATCTCTGATCTTGGGATCAGGAAATGCTATGTGTTTGAAACTTACCTGCTCTCTCTCCCATTGGCCAGTGGGGTCCCTGTATTCAGTCCCTCTTTCCTGTATCCTCTGATCCCATGCCCTGTGACTTTTCCTTAACATCCACTCAACTTCCCAGAGGCAGCCCCCTTACCACATGGTCTCCCCAAGACAGTCTGTGGCTCTGCACACATATCATCAGTATGAACTTGTCGTGCTCTTCCACTTACTGTATTTTTCCCAGGTATTATTTATGTTGGCACATATGGCTCCACCTTTTTGGTTTTGCTTTGATTGTTTCAAACTGCCATATGGGGGAAGGCTTTTTAGAGCATGCCCTGAAACCTGGAAGCTGCAAAGGAAAAGTTGATTAATTTGGCTACATAAGAGTTAAAAGGTTAATCCAAGAAAAGATGCCATAGACAAAGTCAAAAGACAAAATGGCGTCTGTGTTCATGGAGGCCTCCAATGCTGCTGGGTGGTCCTCTTGTGTCCTCCCACCTTTCTCAGCAGTGACTACAGTGGCTCCCTCCTTACTACGAATTCACTTCCCGTGGGTCCAGGTCCCAGTCAGCTGCAGTCAAGGAGCAGATAATCCTCCTCCTGACATAGCATCAGAAAGTCGGTGGTGGCCTAACGCTATGTCACAATGCTTCCATCCTTCATCTCACTTTGTCCTATTATGTAGGCATCTTATTATCTCACATCATACCAAGGAGGATGAGTGCAGTACAATCAGATAGTTTGAGAGAGAGACAACAGTCACATGACTTTTATTACATACAGTATGCTGCTATAATTGTTCTGTTGTACTAATAATATATTAGTTGTTCATCTTACTGTGCCTAATTTATAAATTAAACTTCATTATAAGTATATGTGTGTAGGGAAAAACAGTATATATGGGATTTTGCTACTCATTCTCCGAGGTTCCAGGCATCCACTGGGTATCTTGGAACGTATTGGATACGTTCCCATGGATAAAGGGGGACTGCTGTGTTTCAAACCTTCCCGGTCCTCAGAACTCCACCTCCACCCCTCCTTACTTGCTTGTCATCTTCTTCACCCAGAAGACCAAAGTCATCATGTGTAATACTGGTCCCCCAACCTGGTCTCTGACTGTATGTGAGCTCAAGCCCATCTGCCCCACCTCTTGCGGTTAGAATGGACGGTATCTCTCCTCCTGTTTGAAGCTAACACCACCTCTGTACTTAGATCCCATCCTGTCTTGCCTTAGTGGGATGGCTGCCCTATTAATTACTGAATCAGAAAACCAGAAGCAGAGCCACCTGGGTGGCTCAGTCAGTTAAGTGTCCAACTCTTGATTTGGGCTCAGGTCATGATCTCAGGGTCATGAGATCAAACCCCACATCAGGTTCTGTACTGGGCATGGAGCCTACTGTTTAAGATTCTCTCTCTCCCTTTCCCCCTTCCCCTGCTCATGCACTCTCTCTTTCTCTCTCTCTAAAGAAAAAAAAAAACTAGAAGCCTAACTGCCCTGGCACTACTCTGCTCCTACCCCTCCAATCCATATCCTGTCGGGTGTCACCGTGTCCCACCTGTGTTCTCCATTTACTGGGTCAGGGCTCATCATTCCATCCCTGGGCCACTGCGGCACCCTCCTCCCTTGTGTCTGCCTTCACTCTGGCCATCCTTGAGGCTGTCCTGTGCACAGTGGTCATTGGTGCTTCTAAAACTCAGACCTGCTCGTGTCCCTGCCAGACACCCTGCACTGACCACTTGCCCCCCACATCAGGCAGTCTCTGCTGCTGTAGTTTGGGGGTAGGAACAGTGTGTGAGGAATCTACTGGACAGTGCAGGACAGTCTGATCACGCGGGGCCCTCTCCTCCATGAAACCCATTGCCCAGCTCTCCAGATTCATCTGTCAGTTTTACTGTGTTTGACCTTATGTCCTTGTGACGACAGCCTGCCACTTATCTACTACACTTCTT